GTGCCCCACTTTATAACCCAGTAGCCCTGCTAACTCAGCCACATTCTCAACTTCCCCGACTTCCATTAACTCACTCTTGGCCAGATTCACTTTTGAGCCAGACACCACCTCAAACCAGTACAGCAAGAACTTTAAATTAATTACCTGAACTGACGAGGCATCACAAAAGAATAGTGTGTTGTCTGCAAATTGAAGAAGAGGAATTTCTGTACCATTGTTTTTGACTTAATGCCAAAATGCATTCTAGCCAACATATAGTCTAGAAAGGCCTAATTGACATGGTCATAGGCCTTTTCTAAGTCAATTTTGCACACCAAAACTTTCCTGCCGCTTCTCCTTGAATCAATTAACTCATTTGCAATTAACACCCCATCCTGAATGTGTTTGCTATGCACAAATGCCCCCTGATAGATGAATATGTGGGAATCATGATACACCTTAACCATGAAGCCAAAATTTTAGCCAAGATCTTGTACACACTTCATTAAACTAGGGCTCGTTTGGCAAGTCTTTTTGAGAAGATCTTCTCGTAGCTCTGACAGTCAATAGACGCATTGAGCTTTTGACATAAGATCTGGGCAGCCCGAAGACTGTTTGGCAGACGCGCATCTTTCCGTGCATCGTTTTGGGTCTTTCCGCGCGAGATTAAAATGCGGAAGTCGCGGGAAGCTTCATTTGGAGCTTCCCGAAATCAGCCCAAAATGGGCTTCCTGCATCTTTTCGGCGCCCCATCTTTTGGCGGCGAGATCTTCCGCGTGCCAAACGGGAATAGACCGATTTTCGGTCTTCCCAGCTTGTAAGCAGCCGAAAGACCACATGGAAAGACACGCCAAACGGGGCCCTAATCAGCCTAAAGTCCTTCATTTCCACAACGCCACTCTTCTTGGGGATTAAGGAAATGAGGGAAGCATTCAAGCTTCTCTCAAGGGCTGCAGAATGACGAAACGCCTCCAAAACTCACAACAGATCAAGCTTTAGAACATCCCAGAATTTTCTATAGAAGAGAATTTTAAAGCCATCAGGACCTGGAGCTTTGTCCCCCTCCATCTCATCTAATGCTCTCTTCACCTCCTCCTCTGAAAAGGGTTTTTCCAACTTAGCAACTTGGTGTTCAATTAGATTCTCAAAGTGGAGTCCACCCAAAGTTGGTCTGACCTTACACGGTTCACTATAAAGCTGCTCATAAAATTTAACAATGGCTTCCTCAATCTCCTTTTCTTGATCCACTACAGATTCTCCTACTTGCAGCCTCTTGATGTAATTCTTCCTCTTCACATTTGCAAACTTGTGAAAAAGGTGGTGTTATTGTCACCTGATTTCAACCATAAAGCCCTGGATCTCTGCTTCCATTTCACCTCCTCCTGATAATAGAGAATCATAGTCTTTCTTAGCCTTAAGTCTTTCTACTCTCCTTGCCTCCCCTAAGATACCCACCTTCCTCTGAATCAATCTCAGTTATAATTTTCAAGCATTCAGCTCTCCTGTTTTCATCTTTTGACACCCTATCCCTCTGCCATTGTTGATATTTCCTTTCAGCCATTGTAACTTCTTGCTCAAGATGTGACTAGCTTACCCCTCAAAAGAAACCTCAGCCAACTAGGATTTTATTTTCGTTTTGATCTCCTTCGATTCCAGCCAACAGTGTTCTAGCCGGAAGGGGTGAGCCTTCTTCCTTGGAACTCCAGTCGTCAACTATAGTGTAATGTGATCAGACAAGACTCTCGGCAAAGCTTCCTGAGAAGTATTTGGGAAGAGCTCATCCCAATCTGTTGAGATAATGAAACCTATCTAACCTTACCAGAGAGGGAGCCTCCTAGTTGTTGATCCAAGTGTACTTTGCTCCACTCAAAGGTAAATCATGTAGTTCCTACCTTTGGATGAAATCCACAGACATCTGCATTCCCCTGTTTGTGCCCCTGCACCTCATCATATCCTCCTGTCTCAAGATTGCATTAAAATCCCCACCAATAGCCTAAGGGCCATCCCATTTCCTCCTTACATGGTTCAGTTCCTCCCAAAAAGCATCTTTTAGAGAAGAGACAACCGACCCATACACCCCTGTCACCACAATGGATACATTGTTCTACTGCCACAAAAGCTTTGCTAAGATTGAGAATAGACCCACCACCTTGTCCACCAACTTAAACACCCTGCTATTCCAGCTTAGAGCAAATCCCCCTGCTATGTTTTCAGCTGGCACAGTCTGCCAGTCACAAGGCTCAGACCCCCACACACTTCAAATCACATTGTGCCTCAACTTCTGAAGCTTAGTCTCCTACAGTTAGGTTGCCAACCTTGTCTCTCAAGAAACCACCTAGCACTATTCTTCTTCTACCAGAGTCAAGGTCCCGGATGTTCCACGATATTAATTTTAGACTTTCCATCTGAACTATCTTTGTGAAGCTTTATTACTCCGGCTTGCACTCCTTGCATTTTCATTTAGGCTCCAAGCAAATCTCAAGAGCTCTTTTGATTTCCTCCTGTTCTTCTTCCCCTTCTCTACTAGCCATCTGTTTTCTATTGCCACCAAGAGGGATTTCGTTTCTTCCTCCATCATCCTAAATTGGTTTGGCATCAACCTAACTTTATATTTATGTCTTTTTAATTTTTATAGATATTAGGAAAGCATAGATCTTGCACTCTCATTCTGGATTCAACACTTAATTTCATAAGCACCTCTCTGTAGTTAATGATTCACTAGGGAGGCACTTAGTTTGCCAATAAGTTTATTGTAAGTTACTCATTGAAAAGTAACTTATTGTAGGTTATGAGTTTCTTTTACTTAGACTGATTTACTTATCAAAACTATTTTATCAAAAAGTTTGAATGTGATCCAATGGGAGAAAATTTAGTTTCTCTAACCGAGTCAGCCACTACAAGTAGGAGTATATATTAAACATATAGAATCCCTATCTTCAGACACATAAAACATGAGAAAAAGATGTAGACGTCCCTGTTCTCGTGCTACTTGACATTCCCCCTCAAGCTTATATAATCCTAGCTTGTTAATATAGGTAGTCCACTCTCATGCGACTGAGACACTTAGTAAACAGATCTGCCCAAGGTTCAAAGCATAGTTTTCAAGGTGCCAAGGTGAGGCTAGGTGACTGGGGGGGGGCGCTTAGTTGCCTAGGCGATGGATTGTTTATGTTAAAAACATAGATCCTAGGGTAGTTCCCTAGGTACCATAACCATATTTCTTTAATAATTATTCATGATTTTCATAAGAAAAGTATAAATTTCATATTAAAGTATAGAAAATCAACATATTCATGAGAAGAAAAGGAAGAAGGAAAATA